AAGTAATTATGCATGAGAAATTCTGCTAAAAAAATTAAGCTTCCATATTTACCGGATATCCTGTTTGTTCTCTTCTCAGCCTGTTTACTTAGCTTCTATTACAAAAGTAATCAGCAGTTCTCACCTCTTCTTAGGGTGCACAGTACAGGGTTGGATTTTTTCCCCTTAGTAAAATGCATATTTGATTACAGTCTTTGAAATTATCTTTTATAAGTGTTCTGATCTGGAAAACATTGCATATCAATGTGGTTGAAATTAATAAAGACTATTTCAAGACTCTTAAATCATGTAACATTTGTTAAGAGTTTTGGAAAGCCCACTCTGAAGTTAATATCTTAATTTGTGCATCTGACAAGCTTTGATGTTATGTGCACCACTGTGGTATGTACCATACATTGTGTGAGGTAAGCCAGAATACAGGAAACCCTCTACAGAGAGACCTGGTTTCACTCGTCGGAGAAATAGGCTATCTTGTGTATTCTTCTTAAAATATGTAAATAAATCTTGCAGGGAAAAGATACTGAGTTTCATACACAGGATTTAATGGAGAGTTCATAATCAAATTTATTTATTAAGCAATAGTTTTCAAATTTAGCCTGCTTTATCTTATTTTTAGATTAAGGTTCTGGAGTAAGCCAGGGAACTCAAACTGTGCAAAAACCACACTATTAGTAAAATAAGTAAAAATATGTTGGCTGGTGTGTAGCAGGCACCTGCCACAGCGTGCCCCATATAGGCCACCCCTCTGATCCTGACCCACAAGCTATGAACAGACCTGTCACCTGCCCCACAGCCGAGCACTAAGCTAAACCTCTCCTCACCTGCCCATCCTGTGCTCCCTAAAGGGCCTGTATCCATCCAAAGCATCGCTCCAGTCATGCAAGCTGTTCCACATTTCATTCTATTTCCAGTGATGTCCTAGATCTGCAACAGCCCACAGACTTCCAGCTCCAGTGCCAAAACTCTGTAGCTAAGAAGTTTTTTTTCCGAAGGGGCTATCATGTGGGACAAGTCAGCGTATATCCTACAATGTAGAAGATATATTGGTATACCGATTGTAAATACAGTTTTCCCAGTACGCCCACATAGTGTCCAAATGTTCAATTATTACCTAATTCAGAAAAGCAATCTGTGTCCTTCCTGTCCCTCCTCGAGACCCCCATCATTAAAGGCACTTTTTTAAATTAAAAAAACTGAACAGCTCTACTCCTATACACACGTGAAGGATGTTTCACGAGAAATGTTAGAAGCTCAAAATGGTCTAACTAGAAAAAGGCTCTCATCGTGATTTTTGTAACGCGTCCTAGCACTAGAGGGCGAATATCGCTTATGTTGGGAAAAGCCGCCGTTCTTTTAGAAATAGCATACTCAGGTTTTGCAGATTCTGTTATCAGAGGTGTGACATCCAGCTTCTTCTCTATTAAAAACAAACAAACAAAACTTTTACTTGATTGTCACAATTAAAACATAAAAACTAAAACGTAAAGTTTTGGAATATCAGCAGGGTGATTTTCCTTAAGAATCTTTTCATCGTTGTTTTTACTGAACAGCACAGTTTTTCAAGTTGGATTTAAAGCCTTCTCTCATTACATTCTCCAGCTTCTTGTCCCATGTAAGTTTTCTCAAAGATCTCCATGTTGACTCCCAGTCTGCAGCTGTCTGCAAAAACTGTGATAAAATGTTCAGAAGCAGATGGGTAACACACTCGAGAAGCAGATCAAGCAGACAGCAAATACTGCAACTAAATCAGCGACGTAGACCACAGTATCTCAAATACTGATAAATATATCAGAGCCTGAAATGAATTCAAGGTTTTAAAATCCATTTAAGAAATCTGCAGTTCTACCAAGCAGTGAAGAAGGTGCAGTGAAGGCTGCCAGTGAAGCTACAAAACAGCTTTCTCTTTCGGGGAGCTCCGCAAACCCCGAACATTTGAGGCTGCTGGTTATACGGTGCAATTCTTCAAAAGGACGAGGTGTAAAGACACACACAAGTAGTAAGAGCTGCACAAAGGTGTGTATTGACATTTTTCATAATATTAAGTAAATCATGAGCTAGAAAAAGCAGCAAATACTTACCTTCTTTTCTTCCCCCTTTCAGAAGCTATTTTTAGCATAAGAGTCACACGAAATCCATGTTTTGTTTCTGGAAAGCAGGCTACTGCCTTAGTTTGCCATCTCTCTGCTTGGCTACTCCTACAGCTATTCCTGCCCTCAGGTTTGTATTCTCTCTCGCCCCGCTGTTCTTAGCCCAGATATTTTTGTGCATTTCATTCAGGTATCCCCACTTAGCACCAACTTCCCCTATTCTGCTTCTGGCTTTTTGTGCTCCAACGTTCTGCATACAGCTAAGAGAAAAAAGGTTCTTCATCAAATCTTTTGGTTCTTCATCTTCACCATTTTTGTCCCGCGCTCTTTCCCAAGTCAGTGGAGGCTTACTAGGATTGAACAACAACCTATTGGCTGTTTATACTGCTGAGGTTTTATTCATATTTTGAGTTTTACAGGAGACATATGTATATAAGGAACAATTATTAGTTTAAAATCTCTACATCCTTAGCTTCCTAGAAAGAGTATTCAAACACCTTCCAGAAGGAAATCATTAAAAGTGCATCTTCATGACGTACGTAATAATTTCAAGATGCCTCACTCCAGTGTTTTTGTAAGACTGTGCAATTCTTCAGAAATTAAAAAAAAAAAAACAAAAAAACAAAAAAACAAAACAGGATTGCTCACATCTGGAAGGTTTTTGTTTCCGGACAAACACAGCATCTTCAACTTCATGTATCTAATCTCTTCAGATATCATGACAAAATATTTGCAAGACCGATGAAGTTCAGGGAGCCTTTGCAGAAAATGTAGCTCCTTAGGAATATTTTTTATCTTATTATTATTCAAGCTTATGCACTCCAATTTTTCTGATTTGTAAAGAGGATAAAGCTTTTCAATTGACACCTCAATGTATTTATTTAATCTGGAACATAGAGACTACACCAGTTAATTTTTAAATTTACCAAACGCTTTTTTATGTGCAAAAAGTTCTTTTTATGATATACCTGTTTATAACACAAGGGGGCAATTGCTAAGGATTTGAGTTGTATTCAAGCATATGTATAGCATATGCCTCTAGTGATCAGTCTTAACCCATCTGCTGCTTTTATTAGTCTCTCAAAACAAATGAATTGGTGAGTTAGTGTCCTTACTGGAGCCAAGGAAAGCACAGAAAATTCATTCTGTGTTTCAGATCCTGGTTTTAAGCCTGCTCAGCTACTTATATATATTAAGTTATCAACACAGGCGGCTCACCACTCAAATACATCCCAGGAGATCAGCTGGGAGACGAAGGAGGGCAGGTTGCATCTTGAAGACTAAAAATAAAAAGTTGTACTTGCAATTCCACGGCCTATCAAAGATGATGTCCCAAAGCATTGTCTTGTCTGCCCAGATGATGCAGGTGGGACATTCTCATGTGTACTCCCACCAGAGCCTTCGGGGTATCTCTGGGGCATTCAGCATTCACTCCTTTGGCATGGAGGCTGTTGCACCCCTGAAGACACCACTTCTCCAGCACACCTACGCAAGCGTGTCTGATCAAGACTTCCCAGAAGATACACCACAGCATGTCTGCGCTGCGACCACCCGTATCGTCTACGAAAGAGACATTGCCTACCTCCACTTACTCAACCAAGACATCAATCAATTCATAAACTGCAAGGCGACTAGTGCTGGTGAAGGAGGAAGGTTGGAGAACTGGGCAAAATCCATAGCCCCAATACCAAACGCAACAGGCAGTGGCCCTGCCCCATCTGCCACCAGTGCATTTAACTACAATTACTCTCACTTTTTTACTTCGTAACAATATTACACTCGAGCACAACACAGCAGAGCGGGGGGCCACCATCCCACAGCATCAGATCTGCCTGGTCACACTACTGCCAGCACCTCTTTTTCCTTGAGAGAGTAGGAGCAGAGGGGATGTGCTCTGCACAGACCCAAAATTTCAGCCTTGTTCTTCTTCCTGGGGCCCATCACAGCTCCTGTTGAACTGCCTGTTAAAAAAGTGGAGACAGGAAGCACAGAGCATGGAAAGGAGGCAAAAAGTGCCTCTAGTGACAGTTTTGCCTCAAGGCAAGTGGTTGTGAAACAAATTCCTCTCTTCATGGTGTTTTAGCTTTGGTGTAATATTTTAATACATGTAAACACAGCAGGTGTAGAATTGTACAAATGCGCACAAGGAACATCACTGCTTCATTCCATCTTACATTATACATTTCTTTAAAAAAAAAAATCCTTAAAGTCATAGAATATTTAAACAATTTATGATGGTTTCCCTCCCATTCACATGAGCATTCCTACTGGAAATGAATCTCTTAACCTTGCAAAAAAGTTACCTAGCAGCCCTTTAAAGAAATAGTGGCCAAAGAAACAAATGTCAATGCACTGCAAATAAAAGCAAGAGAAACTACTTAAATATATATAAACGCAAAATGTAGCGCTGTTTTGCAGAGAAAATGTAATGTCACAAAGAAGTTAAAAGCTAAATTCTGAAAAAAACTTCTCAATTTCACTTGATCATCTTTATGTCTGGAGAAGTTCAACAGCATTTTCAAATACAGCTTTTCAGAAGAGTTCAAGTTTAACTGCTAAAAAGCTGAGGATAAATTTTGTTTAGAAATAACTTCATTTCGTAAAGAGTAAGGCTTTGTCTGCTTGTATAGGAATGGCCAGTTGTTAGAGAATTCATGCTACAGTAGGACCCTGAAGCCATAAAAATCAAATGAGGAAACTTCCTAATACCAGGAATTAAGAAGTGAACAATCGAAGTACAAAATAAAGAGCGACTGCAATAAGATTTGCCACAAATAAACCGATTTATTACTTTTTGGCTAAGTCCCATACAGCATGAGCAAGGATCTTTCACACATTGTGTTAAAACATTATTTTGCTTTATACAAATTGTAAACATCTTCAACAGGACAAACCGTTGGTACAGGCGTTCCATGATTCTGGCATCTTTTCTCTGTCAGCTAATCAAACAAGAATGAAACCCCAATAAACCAAGGAACTTTTTTCACAGGGTATCTATAAAATGCAGCATGTGCATTTCATACCACATCAATTCTAAGCCACACAGAGAAGAGTATGATTATTATTTTTAGTGCAATTCATAGTGGTATTATGAATAGAGACACTTTTTCCATACTGTTGCATCCAATTTTTTGCTTGAAATTAAAAACATTGTTTTATACAATCAAGGTAGTAGACCAAATTCTACAGTAAACCAACTGCTATAAAAACAGCTATATTTGCTATACTGTGTCAGATAAGTAAGGATGTAAAAACTCCTGATCTGGTTAATTCTTTGTTTTCCTGGCAGGCACTAGGCACTAGTCTAAAGAAGTCATAATTCAAGTTCTGCTTGTCTAAAACCCCCTGCTATAATTGTCTGATTTTTTCCCCTTCCTCTCTCTCAAGGTGCTTTAAATCAGACATAATCTGATCCATAAAGTGAACACTTATCTTCTTCTTAAGTAAGAGCAGATTTTTTCTAATTTGTAAACCCCAGGAACATCAATCTGCTGGCTAGCTTTACTTGAAGGACTACAAGATGCGCACTGTTAGCTCATAATCCTCAAGTCAGGGAAAAGATGTTTAAACTTGATATGAACTGCTTTTCTCCAACTCATCAGCACTAAAATCCAGACAATTATCGTGTTATTGACTAAGGCTTAAAAAAAAAAAAAAAAAAAAAATATCACTTCTACTGTTAAAAAACCATTGCATGACAACTTTGGTTTCAGTATGCTGCTAATTTTGCAGTTGCATTTGCAGTGACTTAAAGACAAAAATCTACGTTTCTAATGTAAAAAGTCAAGCCAAAAAAACCCCAACTTTCGAGTCCCTGTGCATCATAAGGAACAATGAAAATAAACTTAATTCTTCTGCAGATCACCTTTAAAGTTACTGACAAAACCCAAGGTGGTTGTAAGTACACCTGTATGCAGCCAGTTATTTTTGAGCATTATAAAACATCCCCCTTTAGATCACAAAGTGCTTAGATCAGCAGATCCAAAACCAATGAGTTCAGATGAGTTTCACTGCCTGAAGGGAGGACATTGAGGAGCTTTCTGTTTGTAAAACTTCTCTGTCATCAAAATGTACAAATGGAAGTCTACGAGGGATGAACAGCACAGTTAACTTGCAACAATGTTATGATGTACAGTCACAAACAACAAAGCTGTTCCTACTGATTCAGGACTAGGAACAGTATTAAGCATTCAGTTCCTCCTGTCAACTGAAAAAAAAAAAAAAAAAGCAAATCCCTCAAATCATAGAATTGTTTAGGTTGGAAACGACCTTTAAGATCATCAAGTCCAACCGTTAACCTAACCCTGACATCTTAGTAACAAACTTAGATGAAAGTCTTTAAAACAAAAAGATTGTGCAATTCCACCAGCCAAGCAAGATATTCTGCTACTGGATTTGCCTCCTGCTCTTCTCTGCCCAAATAAAGAAGGGGATCCCTCCTACAGCATTAAAGCTAGATCCTAACAGGACTAAAGAAACACTGTAGAGGATATTCCATCAATCAGAATAAAATAAATTATTTTAAATGCCTTAACTCTTCCATGATCATCAAAATCTGCCAGAAATAATGTACCATGAGCCTTCAGGGAACCTTAATTCTCAGCAGAAATGCAGATTAACCAAAACATTTACTACTCGGTACTGCAGCACGGGATGAAGCTCTATTAAAAAAAAAGTTCTGATCTACACAGCCACCATTTTAGAGGCGATCTTCTAAACATGATTAATACCAACAAGTCCAAAATACTGTTGTGTGGCTTTGGTTTGGTTTTGTTTTAAATTGAGAGCTATTTCTGATTTATAGTCAAACCTTGTATGTCTTTTTTTAATATTTAATCCATTCCATTTAGGTTTACTTTGCAGTCTGTCTGAGAATTGTCTGGAGCACAACACATCAAGATGCAACTGTTATCCACAGGGATTTATGACTTCTGTATGCTAGCTGCCGTTCTCTGTATCGGCATCTGTTAGAATTTTTACAGAATTGTAATGTTCTCCTAAGCCGTAGGCATGTCTCATATACCTAAAAAGAAGAAAAAAAGTTACAGAACTAGTGTTCAGCTTAACTAAAAGCATACGCCATGCCAAACATTAGCAGGACTGGAAGACAGCTTAAATAAATTCAAATTTTACTACAGAAAATATATAGTCATTAAATAGGAGAGTATTAAATGAAGGCAGTTTTTAATTCTGGTGACTTCCAGGCACAGATTGACATAAACTTTGAAGAGAAAAACAAAAATTCCCTGCTGTATCGTATATCAATTTCACTATTATTTTGTAATTATATAACAGGTAAAAATGACCTTGTAACATTCTATAAAGCAATGACTGAATCAAACTTCAGACTGATTGTCAGCATTTTAAGAACTCTAATTACACTATCTTTAAACTAACTGTGTCAATCAAACATAATTTCTGACCTGAAAGTTCATTACTCAAGCAGTATTTCAATGTCAGCTATGTAACAGAAAATAAAAGAGCGGGTGAGAATCAAAGCTGAGCCCTCTGTTATAGAAATTTTATATAGAGAGAAATATAGAATGCACTAATTTTAAGAAGGGATAAAATTACATACTCACACAAGTATTATTGGTTTGCTTGAATATTCTTCACCAACAATAATGGGAGGGGAATCCATCTGCACTACTTCAATAGGTGTTTGCAAAATGTGCGACAAAGCCCTTAGCTTTAAGGCATAAAAACAATTAAATAGGATTAAATCCAATGTAGGGAGGAGCTAGGAAGGCATGGCATTTAGTTTTAGCAGACATGAGTTCGGGCATAACATTTCAAATATTGTTAGAAAATGAACTTTATTAAAATAAGCAAAATTATTTTAACTTTATAAACTTTAATTGAAAACAGGTTCCCTTAAATTAATCATTGTTTTGATGATACAACACAGGTAACATTGGGCTAGGTTCAGTAATTTGGTAAGTACTCTTTCATAAAACAATAAATAAGATATAATCTAAAACAAACGTGTATTTTTTCAAGCTCAAGTTCTGGTTTACATTACAAAAACATAACATTGCTCCGCTCTAGTCAGCTTTGCTACCATATAAGTCCGCACAATAAAATGCTTTCTCCTTAGAAAGTCTTCCCCCATTCATAATGTCAATCTTTCTAATCATATTTAGAACTACTGAATTTGTTAACCTGCATGTCGTCAAATACATCAGAACAGCGGCGTACCATCAGAAAAGCTACTAATTTGGGAAAACATTTTATAACCACAAGAGAAAGTTCCAGATAAACTATTTATGACTCTGTTCCCTTATGCCTTCAGGTATTCTTTCTTAAGAAGCCCTTCTTTGAAGGTATATTCACCTACCTCAGAATTTCACAGATAAAAATTATCAATACAATACTTACTTCCAGCTGACCACCCCATGCAGCTGTATTTGCTATATCATCACAGTATTTTTCAAATTCCTCTGCGAGGAAAGAAAAGACAACTTTTAGTACTTCTCTTGTTTAAGAACAAGCAACTGCAGAAAAATACTGACTGTACAATGAAGAACTAGAACCTGAAAAGTCCAAACACGCTATACAGGAAAATATGTACGTTCACTGAAGAGAAGGAAAGAAAAAGCAAACCACCAGAGGCCAAAAAAACCCCTAACTGTTATAGAAAGAAAAATTAAGACTGAAGACAGTAATAAAAACAAGTATGGGAATATAAAAGGAGTACAGGCTTATATTTTAAACTTTTTATTCAGGGAACTGTTAACAACAAGCATGAAATTGCATAGAGTTTTCCTCCTGTTAAGTTTCAGAGGGTGTCATTTCAAGACTCTGGAAAAGAATGTGATCTCAAGCAGTACGTTTAGTTATTATGTCAGCTAGGTGTCAGGTACAGTTTTAAAATCTTGTAACTGTACGTAGTTCAACTATTGGGTGCGGGTTTTTTTTATTAAATTTACACATTAGCTGCCTTGGTTTTAACCTCTGAAGTATTTATTCCCAATAATTCCTTTGTTAATAGCTAAATAAACCTTTTGCAGATCATGTTCTACAGAAACCAATCTTTCAAATTTATAAATTACAACCCTTCAGGCTTCTGAACCCTATGAATCCATTCTGATGAAGAAAGAACACATTTTCTGAAGACTGCTCAGAATTGTTTTTCATACATTCCCCTTATAACGGACTTAAGAGACATAAGAAAAACGCATTCCCTGCTGCTCTGCAGAACTTCATTCAGTCTTCCCTTGGGGAACATTTATCCTGTGACAATTATCTCTGTAACATGGGAAAGACACCTCCTACTTCACAACGGCCCCCAGTCACCAAATGAAATCCACAGCAATAACTATTAAATGAATGTAGCGGTAAGTTAAAAAAAAATGTATAAAATTACTGCATGTCTGGAACACCACGCAAATGAGAAATGAATAAACCGTGTATTGCTCAAGTAAGTGATACATAAATTTCATTTATCTGCATTTACTCAGCCTACCCCATGGGTACCACACTAAATGCCTTTATATTTAGTTTAGTCTGTTTATAAGAAAGGACTCCAGAAGGCCTAGCATAAACAGTGAAAATAAAGGGTAGAATAAGAAAAAGCATCTATGCAAACCACTATAACATAGATTTTCTTGAATGTCACGCTAATTTTTAACAGTTTTCCTCTGTAAATTGAAAACACCAATACAATAGTTAACAAAAAATCATCCCTAACCTGGTAGACAAGGTGCTTATAATACAACTTAAGTCATATCCCAGAACATGACTACCATATAATAACAAGCAAGTTCTGATTTTTTTTTTTTAAATGGGGAATAATGTTTGCTAGATTACTTAAAAAAGAAAAAAAAAAGATAAATTACAAAGATTTAGATATGGAGAGTTTCATAGCAGATCATAATTCTGTGTTCCATAGAACACAGCAGAACCAATAAAGTAAGAAGGTTCAGGAACAAACGCCATAATGTCTTAGTCCCAATTCAGCTGTAGCTGAGATCAAGAATTATCAGAAATAGTTGTAACAGTTTTTGAAATCTCTTATGCCACAAGTCTTACCTCTGCTATACATGTCTCCAGTACTAGGGTTTGTAAGAAATGGCAGGAAGTCATCAAAGTGACTTTGCATATACTTTGCCGTTTGGTTCCTCAGTGTTGCAACAGTCCAGCAATTTTGGCGATCCTTGAGCTGATCTTCAATAGCTCTGTACATACAGTGGCCATCTGAAGGGATCTGTTTAATCTCTAAGTGCCTTGCTGCCAACAGGGAGGCAAGTTTCTGACTTTCAAGATGTCTAGCACCCGTTAAATTTTCTATCTCAGCTTCAGCTATCCTTTCTTCTCTTTCTTTCTCCAAGGCAGCTTTTTTTTCCTTAGATGAAAGACACATAAAATTACATCAAATCTTAAAATTTAGAAGATGCCTGTAGAGTTCTTGGCTTAGTGCTTCCTTCTAACTCTTCAAATGTTTTCTCAGTACATTCATATCTGTGAAACGTTCTCCCGAATCAGCACTACCAAATCTTAGAGACCTCCTAAACCCAAACTTCAGCAAATGGTAAGTGACCAGTCTATCCCAACTGCCTCTGACATCACACCCCAAATTATGTGACAGGAGAAATCTTAATTATAACAACATGCAAAAATAGCACTTTACAACACCCATGCAAAGGCTATTAATAGTAGTAATTTCTTCAGGATCACCTATTTCACCACACTGGCAAACAACTCGAAGTACGGGAATTCTAATTAAACAACAAAACATATTGCTCTTTCCTAATAAGTGTGAGATCTACCACTTAGGCATATGATTGCAAAATGGAGCTCATGTCATGAAACTGAAACTCCCTCAGGCTAGGTATTATACACCATAAAAGACTGCTCCTAACCTAAAGGACAGATAAAAATGCACACAGAGAATACTAGAAGGGATGTAATAACACATAACATAAAAATGACTTTTATAGAATGATTCCTAAGTTTATGCTTAAGTTAACACGGGAATAAGAGTCAAAGGGAACAAGCAAATAGAAAAGATGCAGTAGAGAGAATGATCTTTTCACTTTCATACTTAAAATTCACCGCAAATCAAGACCAGACTGTTTTAGGCGACCACAATATAGGAAAACTAGACTGCAGTTTCTAGTCTGCCTAGACATGGTGTGATAAATTAAGAACATCTTTTTGTCATGTTTGCTACAAGGCAGCTCTGCAGTAGTGGTCGTGTAACAAGGGATGTACTCTGCAATAAAGCAGTGCTCCTCTGGCCCTGCACCAACATTCATGCAGGTACAATAAGAATGTTAGTCCATCGTAATTTGACATCTGAAGCCTAACAAGATTTAACCCTAATATCCTGGACATCAGGTAGTGTTTCTTAGCAATTCAAAAATTTACAAGAATTTCAGTATTAATGTTCCTTTGGTAACTGTGTAAAGTTCTACTACTTGCATATTTTCCATGTAGTATTTTACATTATTTTAATTCGAGTACTTTATTTCTTTATTAATGGTTTTAGTGAAATTCTTTTAAAGTCATTTGTTTTACATCATTTGTTTTTTCTGGCTCCCATCTCCTGACCTATTCTGATTCCCAGCTCATGGCTGAGGGCAAAAAAGTACAACTGTTTATAAAATGCTTACATATCTCTAGGTAGCAGCTTTACAGATTTTCAAGGCACCCAGTAGGTACAGCATCAATACTGAATTAGTCAGGTAATGTCCCCTGCAAAATTGTTTAACTTTGGTTATTACAGTTAAGTTTTAGTGACTATAACTTAAGTATTTTTAAAATGGTTAAATGTTAAGTCATACCCGCCTCTTTTGTGCTTTTGATATTCGAGGATGCTGAATCTGTTGCTCTGCTCCTTCAAGCTCTAAATTTGCAACCCCATCAGCTACAGAATCTGTCTAAAAAGAAAAAAAATATTAAATGTTCTTATTAATATAAATGATAACTGAGATGCATCTCCTGAAACAGTTTTAAGTTCTGTTCCTACGTAATTCCAGTGGGTATTTATGATGTTTAACCACAAAGATCTGCATATAGCACAGAACCCATCAAAGCCAAAAGTAAAGCATTTTACATCCCAAACCACTGTCATGCATTTTATTACTTTTTCTGCAGTCTCAACAAATGAGACAGTTATGAACTGCACATCTCAAATTTAATCTATGTGTTCTCTTACAAGTTTCCACACCGAAGTGTGAACACTGCTTTCTGGCTGAAAGGGAAAGTTTTCATCGCCATACCAGCCAGCTGAAGTACCCAAACCGCCATTATCAAGTTCTGTGACAATTAAAGCAGGAAGAGGCTCCACCTTCCATACCAAAGCATAACAAGCCATTGGAAAAGACAGGGAGTTGACATTTCTCAAGAAAAATGACAAAGCTAACCCCATAATGGTAAGCGCTAGATGTCACCCTTGGAAGCATGGACATGTTTCAATTTTTTGTTTGGGTGGTTTGTTTGTTTCTGTACAAGATTTAAACAGCCAAAAGAGACATGCTGTCAGGGAAGCACTTAGGGAGATGTATGAGCATGGAGCGTTAGCATCATTCAAAGATAACTGTACTGCACCAGTTTAGCCATAAGCTCTATTCCCATTTAGGCAGGAGAAAATACATGAACAGGCCCACTTGCACAAACGGTCGTTAAATTCAGGCACATGATACAAATAGAGTTCTTTTCAGTACTGGATATACCAAATTAAGTCTAACTAATGGACTGCAAATTCTCTACGACAGTAGTTTCCAACATTCTACTTATTAAGTGGTAAAACATAGGTGAATTTGTCTATGTCACACAAGTATTTAATACTGTATTTAGTTTACTTAGGTGGTCCTATTTCCTGCAGCTAAATTTGAATAATGCTATGCCCAAGTTAAAAATTAGGGGTTTGACATCAAACAGAAAACTGAAAGCACTGAAGTATATCGCTGTGTTGCCAATACGGCAGAGCAGTAGCACTTAAGAAGACAAGTCTCATCATCACAGGAAGTGCCTTCTTACAAAAAGGTCAGTTACACTGTTGACAGAATTGCAAACCAAAAAAAAAAAAAAAAAAAAAAAATCTTTAAGATGACCGAGCCACTAACATAGCCTTAAGAGCAAAACCAACTACTGCTCAACAACAAAAAACCCCACACAGTTAAATGCCCCTCCTAGCAATGCCCACCCACCATAACAGCTGAAATCTTTCCAAAGATGAAAATAATTACCAATACTGTGAGGAGAAGGATCAATACTTTAATAAAGTGTTACTTCATTATAATTTTTAAAAGTTAAAGAAGCCCTAATACAAATTGTATCTTCAGCTGAAGTTAAGGCACCTACCTTATTCTGCTCAGGTGAAGCTTCCTTCAGCTGCTTTAATTCCTCCTTGTGCTTCTGTTCAAGTTCTGTCTCTAGTTTGGCAACTTCATCAGCCAGCTGTTTTCGTCTCTTTTTATCATTCTTGGGAACAGCATTTTTCATGCCTTGAATTTTTGCTGTTAGAGAAGTAGTGCGATAAAACATTACCTCTAAATATGGATACTCCATAGTCACTGTAGAAAAGAGAACTGCAAGTCTACGGAAGAAAATTTACAGACACCAACATATCTGTATGTTTTAACAGTTTGGCTACAAGACTGCCCGTTATGATCACCACATTCTAAAGCAGCTATATTTTTTTTAAAAGATGCAAACATTATATCTGAAGAAGAGAAAAACTTGTACCAAGCTACTACTACAAATACTCATGAACTTCATCAACACAGCAGACCTTAGCTCGTTGCCTTCAGAAAGATTATTTGGGCACTGAGATCTCAAATCCTGTAACAGGAAATTCTTAATCACACGAGTAGCAAACTAAAAATAAAACCAGAGTTTATCTGTCCTTAAAATAAAGTTTCCAAAAGCAAAATGGGTATTCAAGAAGAAAAAAAACCCTCAGTTTGCTTAAGTTCCCTAAGTATTTTTAGGCTGTAAGTCAAGGCTCCATTTCTCAAATCACAGAATAGTTTGGTTAGAAAGGATGTCTGGAGGACACCTAGATCAACCTCCTGCTCAAAGTGGGGCTGAATTCAAAGCTACATCAGGTTATGTTCATTCAGATTGATCTGGAATTTATTCAGATGACTATGCAAAGTCTCCAGGGATGAACATTCTGCCACATTTCGGGGCAGTTCTTTCCAGTGTTTAACCAATTTTGTTATGAAAGTATTTCCCTTTTTTCCTCCCATAAAGAAGCCATTGTCTCTAGACCATTTTCTATGCTTTACTTTGAAGAGTCTGGCTCCATCCATTACGCAGCAGAAACTACACCCAGATCCCCCACAGTCTTCTCTTCTTCTCAAGGATGAACACTCACAGCTTCCACAGCCCGTGCTCTTACATGAACTCACCCTGCTAGCTGTCATCACTTCTGCACTCACTGTTTTAAAGAGTTACAGCACCAATTATTTAACACCCTGCTCGCTATTCATCATCTGTACATTTTCCCGTCCTTCACCCTTGACTGACACAATTGAGTTAAGGATGATGGTGATGATAATTAAACTTTTCAAGAGGAGGCAGCAAGAATGCTCACACTGAAAGATTTATGTTAAGCATTCAGCCTCACAGATGAGTCAACCAAGTTTGACAGCCCGAAAAGCAGTTTTGCTCATAAAAATTAACATAATGAGAGAGATGAAATCCAGGACTTAAGAGGCAAACACAAATACTCAAGGAGAGTATATGTGGAGTGGTGGAGACAAGGATCATCAGCTGGAGGAGATGCTGGATTTTCAGAGGCTAAGATGCACCTCAAGTTGATTCTTATGAACAAACTTTTGCTATCTGTCAAACAGTTAATCATTGCACTTCTCAGGGATGTACTTTTCAAGTAGGAAAACGTGTACCTATAAGCCACCTGCCTCTCAACTGGGAAGACTGGGGCTCTCTCTTCTGTACCCACCTTTAGGTAGTGGAGGACTGCAATTCCACACCCCCTCATCATGCTCTCGGTGGAAAAACCCTCTGTTCCTCAGCCTCTCCCAATCAAAGTGCCATGTGTTCCAGCCACCTAATCACAATGCTTGACTCCTACCCCTCTTTTCAATTTCAACCAAATTTGAGATTGGAAAAGGCATCTCAGAACAATAAGTTCCTATAGATTTAATGACAATATATAGCCCAATAGGGTCTCTCCTCTTCTTTCACCCTCTAACTGATAAAAGGCTACAGATTGGCCTATTTCATTACAAACCAAAAAAGCCAAACAAGGAAAAGGCCATATCAATATACCAGCAATGAGAAAGCTTTAACAAAAAAGTTATAATCAACTATAAAACTCAACTCAACAGAATCTAACAGAACTACTTAACTATATTAATCTACTGTAATAGGGTAGGTAAAATACGGCTCATGAACCGTCCATATATAGCCCTGTAAGAACACAGAGGTCTTCTACTATAGATACTTTAATGTGGCTAGACAGAATATGAAAGTTCTTTTCAGACCAGCTGCGGTTTGAACCAAGAAACGTAGCTACCTGGGCAGCAAGGACCCTTATAGGGCAACGAAGATGGTGAGGGGTCTGGAGCAAAAGTCTGATGAGGAGCAGCTGAGGGAACTGGGGTTGTTCAGCCTGGAGGAGGCTGAGAGGAGACCTAATCGCCCTCTAAGACTACCTGAAAGGAAGCTATAATGAGGTGGGTGTCAGTCTCTTCTCCGAAGTAACAAGCGATAGGATGAGCGAAACAGCCTTAAGTTGTGTCAGGGGAGGTTTAGATTGGATATGAGGAAAAAAAGGGTTGTCAAGCATTGGAACGGGCTGCCCAGGGAAATGGTTGAGTCCCCATCCCTGGAGGTATTTAGAAGACGGGCAGATGAGGTGCTTAGGGACACAGTTTAGTGGTGGGCTTGGCACTGCTAGGCTAACGGTTGGACTCAATGATCTTAAAGGTGTTTTCCAACCCAAACAACTCTATGACTATGCAGTCTTTTCAACCTAAAATACCTACAAAACCACACCTCCTTTAACTTAAAAGCAAAGTAGCAAAGCACTAACGTGAAGCTAATGGCCCCCCATGATGCTACGGCTGTCAGGCGTTGTTGGGCTCCCAGGATTACGGCAAGGGGAACTCAGCAGACGGCCTGCGTGAGGAGAACCACGCCTGGCGGCAAAGCACGGCCTCGACACCTCTGCCGAGACGCCACACGTTCCCCACCGGCGGGCGCCT